CTTTTCGTATTCTCCGAACATCCGCTTACATTTCGTGGGAACTGCTTAGGGGTGTAGCGGTTCTAGATGGTATTTTGGCTGATGATAACAACGCAAATGAAGGATATTGAAATGAAATGCTTCATCTAAAGTCTGGTTTTGAGTGACCTCTATATTCTTGCGCATATCGTTATTATCGGCCCTTATCAGCCGTTATCGCTTTTTCCCCCACCAAATATGTTCCCGTCCTACCCTCTACATCACTTCTTGGAACCAACGCCTCACTGATGCTGGGACGCGCGCTATGGATATCGTGAAATGGGCGTTTCGGTGTCTCTTATTGGATCTTGCGCGCTGTGAATTTCGTGACAAACAGACGTACACACATACATACACACGCACAGGCATACTTAGCGAATTATATCTAGTATGATGTAGTCACCTGAAACCGAGAATCATCAATGAAACTGAAACTATCAATGTAAAAAACGCTGACAATGTAAGGAGACCACTATGAGACTGAGAGGAGGGAAGAAACTTACCGGTGATTGCAGCAGCTCTAGTCGTACAATGATGTGCAAAATCTAAGGATGATATGCATAAAAGACTCATTAACAATTCGATTAACTTCCAATTCGACTAAGAATTGATTCACTTATCAACAATTAGATGGAAGTGGATGAAACTGTGCAAGCGTACTGCTAAAGCCTTACAGTCATGGACATGAAGTGGGCCTCATATATACAGCGGTCGGCTTCAGTCTGGAGCCAAAAGGGAGTGGCCACGTAGAACGAGGGGTTTGGTGGGACAGGACAAGAGGGGTGTACTGAGCAGGGAGAAGTTACTGTGGAATGTAGTGGTGTTCTTGATTACAGCAAGTCTCAGAGACAACACTAGGGTGACTTCACGCGAGGAAGGAATTCTCGAGAAACTAGAAGAAGGAAGATTTGAAACGAGTGTCCCATATCATTGTTTTGTGCGCATAATGAGCAACACGGACTGCAGCCACTGCTGCCCTAGAAGAGTAGGTGGTGGATCACGATCAACTGCAACAGCAGGTGATTGCTACGTTTTGCAACAGGCAAGAATTGACCTACGTCAGTCACAGGCTGCAGTTGCAAAAACATTTATCAGGATTGTAAGGCACGTAATCCCAGGCTGAACAGTGGTACAGTGACCGTATAGGTATGGTCTCTCTGACCGACCAACAGTGTCTGGAGTTCTTCGAAACCCGCGGAAACATTTGCTAGGTGCCGGGACATTAGCGATGGACCACCGATTTGGTTTTTCGTGTTCTTCTCAGTCAAAGTCAAACTGGATTCAGATTGATTTTGTACTCACATGCATGTGGCGAGATAGGATCATGTAATGCGTTCAGGCCCATCAAAGTTATTGTTCGCTGTACTCCTCACTTATGTGCATCTTTTCAATGGTACCTGTAAAATTTCTCAACTCTAAATCTCAACTTCAATCGTATGGTGGACAAGGTGCGAGAGCATAGAGCAGCCAAGGTGGAGAACCCTTGCCAAATCCTATGGAGTACGTGTGGCGCGCATTTAGGAGAGCTTTTGTGCAGTGCATCCCCATGAGCCAATAGCTGTCTAGCAGTCATCAATGCAGGTATTAAAGGGAAAGATCGCTTCTCCACGAGAACTCTTGACCAACCTTGTGGCTAGTATTGGAAGTGCAGTGCAAGGCATACTTGGCAGTTCCTAGCGTTTATATACCCCATCAAGTACCAACTCCTCCGTTTGAATGTCTACCATGAGTTGGAATAGCCTCACCCGTCGACCGTTTAGACAGGGTATCTGACAATATCTTTTCTCTTAAATATCTTCTAATCGTCCTGTAACTCTTTTCTGCTAGTTACTCTCTGCACTGTACCGTAACATTTACTTCTATGTATGTGCCAAATTTGATCATCCTAGGTTAGCTAGCAACCAGATATTATGTCATAGTTACTTTCCGTCTCCAAGTTTTGCACAACAGTGTATATAAATGGACCTTCTGACTTCCTCACGGACGCAGAGGGTTCATTTCTATCACATATGGTCAATGCTCTATCCGTGCCGTCTATTTCCGCTTTGTGTGCTTGCATGTTCTTATAAGAAACCCACAAATAAAGTATTAGTGGGTGACACTATGTATGTCAGCCAGCTTGCTGAAGCTTCACACGAGCCAACCAGTTGCGTGGGTTATATCAGAATGACGAGACGACGTTGAAATGGAACCTCGACACGGGTTTAGACCGCAGCTTCATGTGCGACTATTTCCCTGCCAATTCTTCTCCTGTTTGAAAAGTAGAAAAGTACCTGAAAAGGAGGAAAGTACCCCTCAGAATATCCTCAAACGTTCTCAATTCGGGAAAAGTTTCATGGTTGCAACTTGCTTGATGAAAATTAGGACGCTCTGAAACTCTTTGCACACAGTCCGGTTTGTTGCAAAAAGCAATAGGAGCTGCAAACATTTCTGTGCGAAGATTCAGGAACCCTCCGTTCCGCAAGTCTTTGGAATTGACTTTTTCTGTCTTCCATTCCATTTTCGGATCTTTGGTATGATTGGTGAAAAAATACTATCTCATTGATGCTTTGGACGATTTGAGCTTTCTACAAAAAAGCAGCATCGTAATAGTACTTCATCGGCTAAACAACACAGCACGACGATACGACACACACAACAGGAGTCTTTCGCGATTTGCTTGACACCGGCGCATATCTTGCTCACAATGATTCCCATATGTTTCGCATAAGATTCAGACTGAACTGTACTGTAAAAGAATAAAGCTCGCTACACAAAGCCATCATCTGTTATCTGCCACGAAAGCTCCAACGAAGAGGTAGTCCCTCTCTGGGATTCCTCCATAAGCGGAGAGATCCATCTGGCACGTTTGAAACTAATTCACTCTTATCGCAACGGATAACAAAACTCACAAAACATTGACTGACCACCATAATGAAAATGCCTCCCGCCCTGTAAAGCTCTGCTAATCCCAGTCCACTCTCGTTCTTCAAAACTATGGCAGGTGTCAGACTTTTCTATCGTGCAATTCGGATTTTCCACTAGCGGAGCTCGTTTCCCAAACTGCGATTCATGATTCTAATTGTTCGCAATCTATTATGGTGCTCACTGGCTGTACGATCTACATCATGGTCTCTTGCACGATACTTGGTGCTGAGTTTGATGTGCTCCGGTAATTCTATGGTAATTCTTAATGTGGAAAGCGGAAGCTCACAAACTGCAAAGCGGCCGCTAGATTGAACGTAATTCGTCTACGAATGACAATCGTGGTCTATGAATATCTCGCCATTCTCTCAGAAACTGTAACGCTCATTGATTACTCTACACCATCGAAATCGGCTTGTTGAGCCATGTGCAATTTGACCACCGCACAAACTTCTTCCTAAGTGAACACTCGATCCGTTCAGATCCGTCAAAAGTAGTGTGTTTTCACCTAACATGGCCATAGAATCGCAATTTCTTCACAAAAAAGGAATTTCTATATCAAACTCGTTTTGCCCAGGATACCTTTGAGGCATACCTTTGAGACAGAGGGAATTCCCAAATTGTCTTCTAAAAACCTACATAGCTTTCGTCGGGAAGAAAGGAAATAGTAGTGTCAATGCACTGGATTCAACAAACGAGGTAGCAAATCGTGGCCTCATTCTAACTTGAATATTTCTTTAAGGATTCGTTTACCCTTGTGGAAACGCTATCTGTGTCTACGGGACGAAACTGCACAGTTGCCGCATAATGTACTGGATTCAGAACCGTTCACAAAAGTTGCAGTTGCTCTGGGTCTGTTGTTCGACGGCGAGGCATCTGCTGACGCAATTGCTATTAACAAAACGAGCATGGTTTCCTGTCATATATACAGGGGGGGGCAAAAAAAAGAGTCACTCCTACTCACATTCAAAACAGAATTAATTACACTTTGCCAAAACCAAACCGAATGAGCTCAATTGCATATTGAAGAGCACATTCTATTCTATCAAAAACATTGCATAGTGGCCTTCTACACCGACGACACCAGAAGATTTTCCCACGGAAACATGGTTCGCGGTACGAGCTCAACGGGGTCGTCGAGAAACCATAGATGATTACGACGTCTCTGAAACGCTGGTCAAAAGCCATTTTGCATAGTCAGAGCTAGTGTCTCTAAGAAGTCATTCACCAGTTATCCGATTGAAGAATTTATGTAGCAGCTTCAGAATGGAGCGATTATTGTAGGCCTCCTTAAGCTCGACGGTGATGACAGATGACGTCATATTCTGGAGACGGTGAACGCAGCGAAGGTGGGCCTGATTCTGCTTATGGGGGGACATCTAAGGAATAATTCGCCGTATAACTCCCAATAACAGCGGCATCCTTTGCGACGAAAAGTTTGATGATATGCGCCATAGGCAAAGTGACTCTTTTTTTGGCCCCCCCTGTAGTTAAGCTCTACACTTAGCAAACTGAACGTGTCAAGAACTGTGCGTATTCCGAGGTAAATGACCCCCTGTCCTACCTCCTTTTGGTTTCTCTTTTTTTCCCCGCATCCGAAAAATTTGTGCACACCTATATATCGGGCTTCCTCTATGACTAATAAGCCCGCGGGGGCAGGAGCTACGACAAAGATTGATACTCACTCACTCGAGTCTCCCCTTCCTCCGCCGAGACTCAGTCCCTTTTCCGACAGAAAACAATCGCTTGATGCGGCTTTACATACGTGCGTTATCGTCGCATGATCGCATCTCTTGCGATAGAACCCTATTTTGCTTGTTTTATTATTTTGTTTCTTCGGAGCTTAGATAATGTTGATTGTTAACATGCTCTGGTTTGTTTGCTATAAGAGAGCGTTGCTCTTTTTAACACGTTTTGTTTCGTTAGAATTTTCGCAGCAGCAGATGCCCAGCCGTCGGACAACAGACCCGTTGCATTTTAGTGGGGAAGCAAAAGTGATTGCTACACTCTGCAGAGGTCTCCTAGAGCACCATGTCGTCTTCAGCAGGACATGGTTAGCCCTTCCGTACATAACTGCTGCATTTTCAGACAATGACAGCTCACATTTTGCTTAGATCTTTTCTGCAATTTTGTCTTCATATGTATGACTAGCGAAAATTTATTTTACCCACTCCTTCATGCACAGTTTTGGGGGAGATTAAGCACACTCGTGCTACTCCACTCCCTCAAGGTGTTCGTGTTGCACACGAAGGCGAAACCTTGCAAATGGAGCGCAGCGCATGAGAAAAAATTTCTCTGCAGTCGAGTTACCACCAGTTCTTTGAAAACTTTGAAAAATTATCTCATTATCTTATCTCTTATCTCTAAATTATCTCTTATCTCTCTCACGTCGAATTTCCAGTTTCTTGTATTCAGTTTGCCATTGCAACGTAATGAGATGGAAATCACGCAGACAAGTGGCATTGCAGGTCCTTCAAAAGAATATGTCCATGGTAAAGAATGTGCCGCGGATTTGCTGGTAAAAATGATTGAAAATGGTCCCCGAGAGTTTCTGTTCAATAGAAAACAGCTTCAAAGTGTTCTCCGTATGGCTGCCGACGTATTCTTGGACGAGTGCTCTCTTCTCGAGGTAGGTGGAAGGAGAACTTTTCGAGCCAGCTCTCACTAGTGTGCATCTATATCATGTAAACTTATTAACAGATCCCATTACCTTGTATGGTGTACGGAGATACACACGGCCAATACTCCGATCTTTTGCGCTGGTTCAACCTGAATGGTTGGCCTCATGAGACGCGGTTTGACACTTTCTAATATCACAACTATCTGACACTACGGATCTTAACGGAATGTAGAATCTGCTTCAGATGCGTTTTTCTTGGCGACTTTGTTGACCGAGGCTCCCACGGCGTTGAGCTCTTCGCTCTTCTTGCATGTCTCAAGGTGGGATCAGGAGATAAATAATATTCTCTGTCCAAAGTTTCTGATTCGAAAGGCACAGCAAAATCTTGTTGTGCATCTTGAAAAGTCTTCGTATGCCTTGAACAATGAAGGAATGTTTTTAGTCCACCTCTGACGAAGGCTTTTGTTAATGCCATGAAGTAAATAGCTAAAGTCTCTAACTTTCTGGTACCCTTCTCAACAACACAATTGAGAAGGGTACCAGAAAGTGGCAGTAAGGGATCTATACTATTCAAAGTTACACCCACAGTTACACATACAGTCAGTGAAGCGCCTTCAGTTTTAGATTTAGATTTAGATTTATTACGTGTGCAAAAGGCACATGGGAAAAAAACGATACAACTTCGAAAAAAAAAAAAGAATCAAACATAACGTCCACGCTAATAAAGCAACAAAAGAAGAAAAAGTCAGTCAAGATAACGTCAAATCTGACAGTAACAGATGGAGAGGCGGTTTAATTCAGCAGTCAGTCTCCGAAAACGCTAATACTCTACCTCGTAGCTTAGCAGCATATTAGTCACCCAATGTCTGAATTGAGCCAGTGACATGTTCAAAGGTAACCTTTTTGCCAACTTCAAATAATGACT